ATTTAGATTAATAAATTTCTATATAATCTTTAATTATTAATGAACTATGCATAAGTAAGTGGCCAATTATATATTTAACCGAACAAATTCTACATACAAAATCTTACTTATTTAAAATGTATTAGAACTTACTAAACTATTTGATTCTTAATTATTTGTTTCGGGAAAATTTCCATATTGTATATTTAAAAAATAATATTATTACTTTGCTCCTGTTTTTTTTAATTTGTCAATTTTTTTAAAATATTTTTTCAATGTCACTACATAGTTTTCTGGGTTTTTTCTTGCTATTTTTTTAATAAAATTTGTCTTTAAAAAGCATTATTTTGGTAAATTGTTCAATCCAAAAATCTTTTTCTATCTCTCTTTCTCTATGTAGCTTTCCAACCCTTGGAAGTGTTTGGTGTAGGCACGATTTATCTTTATCTAGTTCGTTCCATTACATCTTCGCTTCAATATTATACTCCCATTATTCCCATGGTATTAACATCGTTCAAGATTCTGTCCCTCCATTTGAGAGATAAATTCGTAACATTACATCTGCTCTGACCTTAGTCATTGAATTCTTGATACGTATTTAACTTAAATTAAAATATTACTGAGTACCACTATTTTTTCCATTGCTGGTATTTTTTTGTCGAAAGCCATCTATATAAATTGGTTATACTACAGTCGATTGGCTTGTTATATTGATGATGTGTAACATGTCATTTGAGTTTCTGGCCTTCCTGGCGCATGTAAGCTTTGCATTGTAGATAAACAAATAGTTTGTATCTTTATTATTAAAAAATTAAGGAAAAAAAACAATTTGTTTCTTCGACCTATAATTTAAAAAAAATCAGTATCAGTTTAACAAAATAAATTAGATATTTACCGAAAAAGAATATATGAATTTCGGAGAACATGTTGATGCTGCTATAGAATCTGTCATTGCCCAATGTTCTGAAGTCTCCAAACAGGAACATTAAGAAGAGCCAATAGTATCCAACGTAATGAGTGAAGCTATAAATTTCGATTTGAGGACTATAATTCTGCAGGTTTTCATACACAAATATACGACAACTTCTACAACAAATTGTTTTTTCAATTCTACGAATATTTTAGTCCTTTACTCTTTTAAATTAGATATTTACCTCCTTTGCTTTATTGATGAATGCCGATACATGTTGTCCCAACTGTTTGATATTTCCGGCCACACGTTTTCTTTTTTATTTTGTTCCGGAGTACTCGATTCATTTTCATTGTCACTAGAATCGTACTCGTCAAAAAGATACGTCTTGCCCAAGGTTATTAAAAATAGACAGGTTGTCTGGTAACTTTACACCAATCAGCGTCGAGAATCTAACGGCGTCACTGAGAATGCTACATTCAAATTCATTCACTTTACTCCTTGAAACGAACACGAAAAGCAACAATGATTGAAAATATATCAATCTATGTATATTGAAAAAAATACGTTTGGACTTTTAATAACTATTTATTGCATTCTATCTTTAAAAAATGTGGGAGATAAGTACCTGCAGAGTTACAGAAATCATAAAATATTATTCCAGCTAAACATATGTAGTAGAATAGCATTACTATATTAAATTGGAAGTAGATTCTTCCTTGTGTATACATGTGACTAAAACATGTTAATATAATAACTATATTAATAATGGATTAAATACAATTTACTTTTTTTTAATTATTTTGAATTGAATTAAGTTGTACATAATTAACAGTAAATTATAAAAATCAAAATCAGTGAATTGACACATTTTTACTGAACATTTAAATGACTATACCTACTTACGATCTTTTCCAGCTTTTTAGGTTGTATGCTTAATAGTTTAGCTTTTAAAGCATCCTCATAATCGTCCATGCGAAAGTGTATACTACAAACTCTTTTATTAAAACAGGGCCACTTATCCTTTCTATGACACTTGCTCATCCATTGCTTTTGAATTTTTACATTTTTTGGAAGTGTAAAAAACATTAAATTCCTTCCATCCTTTTTGGAATTTTTTGAATTATAATATTATTTATATTATTTGCAGATTGCTACACTACAAATATTTCCACCAGTCATCTTAGTCAATAAAAAAATTTAATTAAGTTATGTTTTTCCTGCATTAATCCCAATGTTACCTTTACTATATAATACAGCAGAAATAAAATCTAGTAAGACACAACCACGTTAAATGTATCTTAACACTTGTATAAGAGATTTGGTTTTAAGTTGTATACTAAAAATCACTCAATAATATCTATAGACATATTATATCTCAAGATATTAACATAAACTAAAGCACTAACGACATTTAACAACAAAATAGATTCTCCAAACCACTTCTCCTATTTTGTTTTCAAACAATTCGTAAAGTTGACCCCCTGGGTGACGTCACACGTCCTATTTCATTCTGTCAATGTCAAGAGTTACCATGAAACCCTCTGTTTTACTAACCTTGCGTCTTGCCAAACTCATCCGATTCTTCATCTGACAGAATCTCTTGCGAATATTTTTAAAGTTTTTGTTGCTCTTTCTCGTACGTCTGCATTGTACCTCTCTAATCTAAGTAGTGATGAGAAAATATAATTTAAGTTTCAGGAAAAATCAAATTTCAATTTAAATTTATGTAAAATAGATTTTTGATTACAGATAACGAAATTTTTAGTAAAATAAATATATTTATTTATTTTTATTAATTTTATTACTAAAATATTGTGTTGACAAATGTTTAGTAAGTTTGAATTTTAAAGGAGTTTGGTCCTTTAAAAATTAAGAAATAGTAATTTTTCTTTTAGAGTTACCCTGGAATAAAATAGGAATTTGGCAAAATTCGTTTATTTAAGTATTTAAAAAATAACATAGCTTTCTGTAAAAACAGATATTTGTAGTTTTACTGTATTTTTACCTCTAAAGCAGGATAGTCATCGGCATCTAATGTTAAGCAAGGTTTTAACTGTTTAAAATACTTTTTTTATGATCACCCATGTACGGCAGCAACTGCATTAAATCATCATATTTTTGGTTGGCTATTGATAGTTGTTTAAGGTTTAAAGATTTTAGCTCTCAGAAAATGTAATCTCAATTTCGCAAGGATCCCCTTCTGAGATCCACTTTTTAAAATCACAATCAATAAAATCAGTTTTATACAAATAGAAGATTTTTTTGAAACTTTATTTATTTGATTTGCATCCACAATACCAAATCCCTTTCTTTATTTTTTTTTCCGTGCACTAAATCGTTTTTAGGATATCTGCATAATTTAAAAATTCTTCTTGGCCAACCTCAAATGTGTTAATTTTGTTTTTTCTGTCGACTGCTTTAATAAAACTTGTCCAATCATGTAACACCCTGATTTCCATGACAGTTTTTTTAGCTTTTCCATTAGATGCATATATCGTATCGGCCTTCATATGGATGTCCTGGCTCCATAAAGCAGTAATTTATCTCAAATAATGAGTTTGTATCAGGTAGCTCCTTCAAAATCCTGCAGAATATTGTAGCAACATAAATGTTTCTTTTCTGACCAGAACATGAATCGCTATAGATATTAAGAGTTTTAATGTCTTCTGAAGAAATATCCAAAACAAACTTTTTTAAACAAAAAGATATTTCTTGACCTTTATATCCTGCTATAGTTTCGTTCCATAAAAAAACAAATATTTTCATTGCCAATATGATCTGTTTTATAAAGAGTTAGATTTTAGACCCACAGTTGTCTTCTGTAAAACGATACACCATTTCTCAAGAAGTGGGTCGGCTAACATTTTTTCGAATCAAATGAAACAGTCACACAACTTCCATCTAATTTATTTATTTTTTATCTTTCTTCTTATTCTTATAACAGCTTTGAGCCATTTCCAAATCTTCTTTAATTGTAATAATTTTATGTACCACATTATCTGTAAGGTTTCTTTTATTATAATATGACTTAAGAATAAAAAGGCGAAAATCCAGTGCTCATTAGATATTGGCCCTTCGGTTAAGTAGAGTGAGCAGTTCTATGGGCACTTTGGCCTTTTTAATTTAAACTGATTTGGAAATTTGGAAATCGGCAACCATTTATACAAGAAGTTTGCCCTTTTTTATATTGTAAGTTTTAAATACTATAATTTTTATGGTGAACTCAATAACATCAAATATGGAGTTTGGACCTTTTAATACTTAGGTCCAGAAATATAAAGTTTTTTTTTTGATATTTAAAAATTTTATTTTTTTCCAATTTAGAAAGTAACAATCGCCTTAATAAATAAAGGTTAAAAGTTGGGCAATACGATAGAGTTTACTTTGAATTGAATCTTATAGCACCTGTAGAGTTATTGTTTAATACATTCTTCTTAGCCTTCTGTCGTCCATCTTTGGACATAGGCCTCTCGCAACTCCTTCCATCGGTTTCTATCCTGAGCATACATATTTCCAATTTGTTCCGGCTATTCTTCTAATATCATCAACCCATCTTATCTGTGGTCTTACTCTTGGTCGTTTACTATCGTAAGGTCTCCAATGTTGTATTATAGTATTCCAACGTTGGTCTTTCTGTCTAGCAGTGTGGCCCGCGAAGCTCGATTTAAGTTTTGCAATTTTTATTGTTATGTCCTCGACTTTTGTTTTGGATCTTACCCAGTCGTTCTACTTTTTATCTGACAGTCGTATACCTAACATTGCTCTTTCCATTGTTCTTTCTGTTGTAGCTAGTTTATTCATGTATGCCTTGGTTAGGGTCCAGGTTTGACATTTATATGTCATAATAGGAAGGATGCATGGTTGAACACTTTGCTCCTCAAGTATTGGGGTATTTTGCGGTTCTTAAGTATCCAACTAAGTTTTCCAAATCCTGCCCATGCTAGTCTTGCTCTTCTAGTAATTTCCTTACTTTGGTTCTCTTAGTCAATACATTATATACTGTATTATCTTTAATTTTTATTTTGTATCAAAATACAAAATATATTACCAAATTAAATAATAGCTGACACTTTTTTACCAAATTTTACCATTTGATACCAAATTTTAGGAAGGATTTACTGCCGACAAAATCATTTTGGCTACTGTATTAGCCTTAGGTTATTTAGAACAACTCATGATTTACTGTATTATCGGCAACGAACTTAACTACCAAGTAAGTTAAAAAAAATTACCAATGATACCTTTAAATTTTAATTTTTGTAACTTCTAATGCACCAAAACCAATATTCAATTTTACATAACTTTGTTAATTGATTTTCTTATTTTGTTGAGAAGTTTTTCAAATATTTAATGTTGAGAATCCTTAATATCATAAAATATTAAAAACAATATTTTGGTAAATTACCCCAGAGGAACAAAGAATTATTTTGTTAAATCGTTCTCGCACATTGACGTCAGAGTAGATGGCACATCTGTGCACGAACCTCTGAAAGTGTGAAGATTTTGGAGACATAAGTTGTACTTTTTGGTTTGAATCTGAATCAGCTCCAGCAACAGATGAGGTAGAGATACCTAAATAACAGTATATATCGTTCTATTGATTCCGATTCAGATGTAAAAAGTTTGACTAATTTGTCCTGGAGTTATACTTTTTTATTGTTTTAGGCAAGCTTGCTGCCAGAATACATCTATCAATCCAATTGGAGAGAACTAGAGAACAGTTCCTTGCGAAAAGATGTAATATTTCTCATACAACATTCTCAAAAAGTTCCACAACTAAGTGCTTATGGTCTTTATAATATTAATATGAATTCATTTGCTAAGGTAATTAAACTATTAATAAAAAATAAAACCAAAACTAACTTTTATTTTAATTATTTATGTTCTCTAATGTTCTATAATTTAAATAAAGTTTGTAGCTTAATTGCTTTTCATTCTTTTTTGTTCTTAATACTCATTGTTGGATCCGTCTCTCTTTAAAATCATTATTTATTTTAGAATTACATAGGAGTTTTTTAATTTTTTCGAAAGATTCACTGGCCTGTTCTATTCTTAATCTTATTTCTAGATCAGAATTTATATCCACCCAGCATCTCAGGTACTATAACTTGTGCACACTAATATTTTGGTTTTTTAGGTCGACTTTGGTCACTTTGGTTTCCTTAATGTTTATTTTTATATCAATTTTCTCACAGACCGCGTTAGTTCTGTCCGATAATTCCTCAATTTTTGTTTAATTCTTTGTGTACTGTTGATTGCATCGTGTCGTTTTATAATAATTTGATGTCTTGAAGTTTTTATTTCTGTATTAATGTCCAGTGCACACGCACTTTAACAACAACAGGATTATGATCTGAATTTATGTCATTTTCTGGATATGTTTTCGCACCGATGTGATTCCAAATAATCATAATAATGTCCAATCTTTTAAAGAGAAAAGCATCTTAAGAAAATTAAAAAGAACAACAACTTTTAAAAGTACAATAGTAAAATGTTTCAAAAGACTGATATGTTTTTTGTACACACTTATGACAAGTCAAAAGAAAAGGCAAAAAAGTATTTTTGAAGTGTGTATATTTTTTAATAATTCCTAGCTGAGCGCTTTCGGCTTTACAAAGCCATCATCGGAGCTATGCTACAATAAAATGTTTTTATAAGTAACTAATTGATGAAGATTGTAATTTTATACTTACGTCAATTTATAAATACCACTACAATGGAGATATCTCATTTCCTTATTTGTTGAAATTTTGATTTTTTTAATTACTTAGTTGTTAAAAATTCTTAAAAAACATACAAAAAACCGACACTGGACTTCACAGACAAATTAAAAAAAAATTGTCATGGTACGGGTGTAAGAACCCGACCATTGTTTGCTATGAGGAGGTAGACAGAATAGAACTAAAGAAATCTAATGTCGGTCCCTTTAAACGATTTTTCAAAAGTGACAGTTGACAAATGTTATGTATATGAAATAGAGATTGTTTTAAATTCTTACAAAATTATTTAATAGTTTGTAATTACTAATAGTCATCAAAGACTTTCTAAAAATTAAGTTTTTAAGCTTTTAAATTAAATCTTGTGTGTTCATCACATCATACAGAATGATATTAGTTTGTAAATTGACCCAAGTCATTGATCAAGGTCAATGTATGTTCAATCTGACAGTCATCCCTAAGAAACAAGGGTTCAAATCGTTCAATAATAATAGAAAGAAGAAACATGATATTAATGTTACATGATCTGATATTTAAGTGTATTGAGAATTGTATCTCTTGAATTCAATTTAATAATTATTCCTTTTCTCCTTCTGAAAACAGTAAAATTTTACACAACGTTCCCAATAAAAACTTTAGACTCATGAATCTCTTGGAAGATCTTGAGATAACCAAAGAAATGAAACTAAACCCTGATTGTTGCTTAAACACACAAATCAACCTCAATTGCAATTATAAACCTCTTTTTAAATTATTATGGGAGACTTTAGAGGAAGAATGATGACCTCATGCAATCTTATTACAGTTTTTCATAATTTTATATTTTTAAGTGGTATTTATAAATTGACGTAAGTATAAAATTAAAATCTTCACCAATTAGTTACTTATAAAAACATTTTATTGTAGCATAGCTCCGATGATGGCTTTGTAAAGCCAAAAGCGATCAGCTAGGAATTATTAAAAAATATACACACTTCAAAAATACTTTTTTGCCTTTTTTTGACTAAAATGTTTGCTTTTATAAACTTTTAAAAATCTTTACTCTGAATGTTCAGCTATTCTGGATCCAGCTTACTCTTTCAAGTCAAATGTTTTTATCTCTTTAATATATTTAAAATAGAAAAAAGGAGATTTTTTTAGAATTTTGCAATAATATATTTGTTTTAAAAACACAAACTGTTTATTAAAAAATAAAAATATAAAGGAACATACATTTAAATACTTGATAAGTAATTTTTTTTCGTTTATATCGTAATATATATATATATATATATATATATATATATATATATATATACGTTTAAAGTTCGTAAATATGTATTTTAATATTTGTTTTTTATTTCAGGTGGTTAAGCTGGCATTTTCATTTTATACCCTACTGTCGAATATTTCAAACTAAACTAAGGCTTTATTAATCCACGAACTTTCTTAACAGACGTCTTATTTTACAAAATCTTACTTTAAAATGACCCATGTTTAGTGTTATTAAAATTATAAAAATTTAATTAAATTGTTTCTTTAAGTATCAATAGTAGCAGCCCATACTGTAAAGATATTCAAAATACAGATTACACGACAACAAAGAGACACTGTTTAGATTAACTTGTTATTTTGCCCGATTGTTTATAGAACATACGTCGCATTTTCTTTTTTTTTGTATTTTGATTTTTAAACCGTAATTAAACAAAACGCCCACTTTATTTTATCTTAATTAATCTTACTAAACTTGAAAGCGACAACATTTTTAAATGGAGAATAAAAAGAACTTTTAAACGATATATCACAAGCCTATACTTCCTATTTTAAAAATTGGGTATTGTACCTGTCATTCTAAGGGAGTTGAAGGTAGGGGTTGCATTTTCACGTTAAAGAATATCAAGTTATAATTTAAATTTGATGTGTTTCGGGATTTTTTATAAATATGTACAGTAACCTAAATAATGAATTTATTCCATTTGGCTTTTACACACTGTATATCCTTTTCTACGCCAAAGGGGAAGCTGCTGGTTTTATTATTATAAGCAGTTTAGTTTATCAACCTTTAATGCTTTGTTTTAAGGGTACAAGTAATCAATTTATTATTGTTATATCCATTGTATCAAAAATGTGCAACCAAAAGAGCCTATTAGTCAAATTTAAAGAAAGTTGCTTAAATATCGATAGTAAATTTATAATGTAGAGTCTATAATTTTGGAAAATAACAAAACCATAAATTCTAGCTATTGAATTAACATCATTAACAATATATACTATGATGATCCTTGAATATTATCATTAGTTCTGCTTTGGTGGTATTCTCTGTAAACGAAATACATTTTTCTACTATGCCAGCTCTGGATGATGAACTTTTCATCAATCATCGTTAGAATGCATTTAACAAGGCAGCTGTGACAAGATGGAGTATCCATTACTATGACAGAGTTACTAAGAAGTTCATGTCTTCATGATAGTCCGCGGTTTTCTTCAATATAAAAAGAAAAACATCTATTTGAAGAAAACTGGTATCGCTTCCAATTAAACGCTGGACCTTACCTAGTTTTTGGGTCAAAACAATAGGGCAGCACTTCCTTTCCGTTGCTTTTAGAGCCTTCATTGTGTCATCTTTTGCTTGATCTACATCTTCTATTTCATCTTGCAAGTCTTGCATATGTCTGATTATTGTATCTTCATACAGGTCGTTGTTTTCTGGGGGAATCCATTTTTTTTTTCTTGATTTTAGGATCATCTTTGTTCTTTCTAATTTGACATTTAATAGTACCTTAGCTTTGATTAATCTGTGGTCGCTTCCTATTAAAAATTTGTTGAGTACTTCGATGTCTTTGATTATTTATTTTCTGTGTAATGTAAACATAGGAAGAAAATAAAGAATAGAAAAAATAAGGGCTAAGTAGCATAGAGAAGATAATACTTATTCAAAATAATTATTATATATTTCAAATTAAATAAAGAATAAATTCAATACAGTAACGTATACATGTCAATCTATACAAAGAAAAACAATTTAAAAAACACGATCCAGTATCAGTTGCAACAATTGTTCAAAAAAGAAAATAGTCACGTTTTAATAAACATAGACCTACGCTGGAAATTTTCACCAGCGCCGACCTGGTTTAAATCATGAGGACTCAGCAAAAAACACTCGACCTTGGTACTACAATCGGCATTTGAGAATACGAGCTCAATAAAAAAAAAGAACGGAGGAAGCCCGGTCAGTCAGTATCTTCGGGCGGGGCTGTCAAGGCGAGAGGCGACACAAGGTGCGGATTAAGCGCGATTGGTATATTTCGACGGGATATAGTTCCGTATAAGTGTCGGGTACAGAAAGAAATCCGATTTCCAGAGGAACTGAAGGGCGTATCATTAGCTAGAGCCTAAATACGCGAATGGTAACAAAATTCCATATATTAACCCGAGTAAATTATAGTAGTACAGATTGTCACCCCTTTACTTTTTTGCTAAGATCTCTTCTCGTCTCCCTTCGCGCCGAACAAACACATTTGTAGACTCTAAATTTGGTTTTTATGTTCCTTCCGGCCGATTCAAAAAGAGACCAGGAGAGTACCAAATTTCGGCTTATACAATTATCCGGCTTCTAAAGTAAGCCCATAGACTCAAACTCCTTACAGGACCTGAGACCTAGAAGCCCTTAAATCCCTACCCCGAAACTTCTCTACCTTCTCGTAAATCCACGAAGGCGAGCCAGTCATTTCAGACCAGTGGGACCAGTAGCCTTGCAACCGCTCGCAGGGATAAGCATCCCAAAGGTTTCATATCGAAGATATTACAGTGATGACAGCGGAGCGTCCCAGTAGTTGTACATTTGGCGACAGCGGTGTTTCCAGTACATTACATCTGTTTGTTATGATATAATCTATTTTAGTTTTGACACTGCCATCTGGGCTGATCTATGTCCATTTAAGCTACGTAAGAGTACGATCCTTTAATAAAAACACCCACCTTCTATAACACTTTACCAATTTTTTTAAATATTCTTGCTGTTTATCCTATTTCGGTACTAACCTAGTGCTTTAGTATTATTGTGTCTAATTTACTTTTTGCTAACACAACATGTTTACGTAGTGCTTTATACCGTGAGTTTGAAGTAATTAGTGCAAAGTTTTTAGTAACATACTCTGTCCCATTTAAAGTTCATTAGCGGTTCGTAAATAGTTGCAATCAGCAACGGGAAAATTCCAAGAACAGCATGCAACTTGAATTTATTATAAGGTGTTGCCGCTTGTTCGTATTAAATTATTTCTTAATGAGGTATAATGTTTCTCTTCTAGGGAATATCGCACAAATAATAGATATCTTGATGTTAATTTTTTCTAACAAAAGGTATATCTTTATTAGCATTACTTTATTTTACATTAAATATGTAAAACAAATTAGATCTATAGTATATCATAAACGTTTTATAATACACATGCCCATGATTGTAGAATCGTACGGGGATCATATGAGAATTATTTTATTTCTATTTTATTTTCTACCTGCAAGAAGCATTTATAAAGGTACTACAAGTAACTTTATTATTAGAGAATAATAGCATTATACATTCAGATGCAAAAAAATAATCAAAAGAGAAAATTTTGGTCAAATTCAAAGTATCCGAAGTATATAATTGTATATATTTTAATTTGGAAAAGTCAGTTTATTTAAAAAAATATATATTTGACTTATTCTTCTTCTTCTTCAGGTGCCATCTCCGCTACGGAGGTTGGCAATCATCATAGCTATCTTAATTTTTGAGGCAGTAGCTCTAAATAGTTGTTTTGAGCTGCATCCAAACCATTCTCTCAGGTTCTTTAGCCATGAAATTCGTCTTCTTCCGATGCTTCTTCTGCCATCTATTTTTCCTTGCATTATGAGTCGCAGGATGCCATACTTATCGCCCCGCATCACATGTCCGAGATACTGTAGCTTTCTTTCTTTAATTGTAAGTTCAATTTCCTTCTCTTTGCCTATTCTTCTCAGTATTTCATTGTTTGTAACTCTATCTACCCAGGAAACCCTCATAATTCTTCTATAGGTCCACATTTCAAAGGCGTTAAGTCGTCTCATGGTATCTAGATTTAACGTCCATGATTCCACTCCATAATATAGTACACTGTATACGTAACATTTTGTTAGGCGTACTTTAAGAGCTAATGTTAGATCTTTGCCACATAGGACCTTTTTCATTTTTATAAAATTAGAACGTGCTTTTTCGATTCTGACTTTGATTTCTGCCGTGTAGTCATTATTTTCTGTTATAAGTGTTCCTAGGTAAGTGTACTTTTTTACTCTTTCGATCTGCTGGCCCTCTACTATCAAGATTTCGTTAGTATTATAGTTGTTTTTACAAATTTTCATAAACTTCGTGTTTTTGACATTAAGAGAGAGTCCGTACTCCCTACTACACATGACTATTTTGTTCATGAGTCTTTCCAGGTCTTGTAAATTATCGGCTATTATTACTGTATCATCTGCATATCTGATGTTGTTAATTAAGACTCCATTTACTCTTATGCCGACTGTTTCATCTTCCAGAGTTTCTCGAATTACCTCTTCAGAATAGGCGTTAAATAATAGAGGTGATAGAATGCAGCCTTGCCTGACTCCTCTCTTTATTTCCATTTCTTCAGATGTTTCTTTTTCGATTCTTACTATTGCTCGCTGATTGTAATAGAGGTGTGTTATTAGCCTTAAATCTCTTTCATCTAGGTTTTTATTTTTTAGAATTTCCAGGAGTCGATCATGTTTTACTTTATCAAACGCTTTATTGTAGTCTATAAAACAGACGTAAAGAGGGCGGTTAACATCCAAACATCTCTGTGTCAGCACATTGAAGGAGAATAATGCCTCTCTGGTACCCATACCATTGCGGAACCCATATTGAGTGTCACTAATATCCAGCTCCAGTTTAGAGTGTATTCTGGCGTGGATAATTTTCAAGAGAATTTTCAAGGTATGTGACATTAAGCTTATGGTTCGATAGTCACTACACTCTTTGGCATTCACTTTCTTTGGCAAACATACAAATGCTGATGTCAACATTTCTCTAGGAATGATTCCCGTAGTATAGATAGCGTTGAACAGTTCTACTATTATGTCCAGGTTTTTCTCGTTAACCAACTTTAGTAGCTCGCTTGGTAATTCATCTGGACCAGCAGATTTATTGGTTTTCATTGAGTTTAATGCCTGACTAACCTCTGATTTGGTTATCTCTGGACCTACATCTCCCGTTTGGCTATCTACAGATGTACTAGCTTCTCTCTGGTCATGAAATAATTATTCGATGTACTCTTTCCTTGGTTTGACTCGATTTGACTTATTGTACGGGGTTAATTAAAACGTGGTTTTATTATCCCAAATTTGAAACGTCCTGTGGAATAAATCCGTTTGCGAATTTGCTTA